GAGCCCATCGGGGGAGTTGAATAGTTGACAGAAGAGCAAACCATTTTTAGACAGTGAGAAATTGAGGAGTCACAGAGCCAGAGTGAAGGAACTGAGGTCCAAAAGGTTACGGTCTAGGGGCGCCTGGGTGGCTTAGTCAGTTGAGCATCTGACTTTGGCTTAGGTCATGGTCTCATGGTTCGTGGGAGTGAGCCCCGCATCAGGCTCTCTGCTGTCAGCACAGAGCCTGCTTCGGATCTTCTGCCCAACTCTCTCTGCCCCTCCCCTGCTTGTAGGCTCGCACTCCCTTTCTCTCCCTCTCTCTCTCAAAAATAAACATTTAAAAACAACAACAACAACAACAAAGAAGTCACAGTCTCAGTGGCCGTGGAGGAGGGCACGTGCCATGTGCGTCCCCCGACAGCCTGTGGCACTTCCGGTGTGGCCAGAGTCAGGGCGGGGGCGGGCAGAGTAGCGAGGCGGGTGACATGGGGAGTCTGGGAGGACTCCCAGCTACCCTCCAGATGGGAAGCTCCTTGAGAACATAAACATGCTCAGCAAGCGTTCCCTGAATATCACGTAGGCACCGCTACCATCTCCATTTTTACAAACGAGAGAAACTGAGGCTTGGGAAGATTAAGTAACTCACTTAAATGGCAAAGGGTAACAGCAGAATCATGGCTTGGGCCAGGCCAGGGTGGCTCCAGCACCTACATGCTTAACTGCTAGCTAAGTATATACTTTTTTACAACCTAGTACTTAAATTGCTCCTTTTACCCTTTGTCCCTTATGAAGATCGCATACCTACTGATTTTTAAGTCCAGTTTCAGATGTTAAAAAGTAGCATGCGCCATATGTGTGCTTTTCAAACTTTAATGTGCATAGGGATCTCCGGGGGCCATGTTCAAATGCAGAGTCTGGTTCAGTGGGGCTGGGGTGGAGCCCACAATTTGCTCTTCGGACAAGCTGCTGAGACTGCAAGTCCAGGATGGGAGCTTTGAGGACGGCTGGCTGGAGAACTGCCGCCCCCTAGTGTTTGGCACCAGAACTGCAAGCCCTAAAATGAAGCGCACTTGGAATGTCTGTCTAGAAGGAGCCCTGTCCGTACTGGACTAGCTGCATGTATTCCAATGCTTGCTGCCCTGCGTGCTACATGGCGTTACAATTTTACAGGTGAGAAAACCGAGGTTTAAAGGAATTAAGCAACTAGTCAAGGTCATATATCCATTCACCAAATACGTTTAATCGTCTCTCGTGTTTCTTCTTCCTTTTAAAAAAGTTTTATGGGGCGCCTGGGTGGCGCAGTCGGTTAAGCGTCCGACTTCAGCCAGGTCACGATCTCGCGGTCCGTGGGTTCGAGCCCCGCGTCAGGCTCTGGGCTGATGGCTCAGAGCCTGGAGCCTGTTTCCGATTCTGTGTCTCCCTCTCTCTCTGCCCCTCCCCCGTTCATGCTCTGTCTCTCTCTGTCCCAAAAATAAATAAACGTTGAAAAAAAAAATTTTTTTTTAAAAAAATAAAAAAGTTTTATTTAAGTGAACTAACTCTGCATCCAACATGGGGCTCCAACTCATGACCCTGAGATCAAGAGTTGTATGCTCTACCAACTGAGCTAACCAGGTACAAACATTTTCTGAGTAGTAATTACAGGCCATGGGGATGAAGCCGTGAACAAAGTCCCTGCTCACAAGAACTGAGGAACAATCGCTAGCTAGTGACCGAGCCGCAGGCCCAGCTCAAGAAGCCAGAAACCTGGGGTCAACCTTGGGCTCCCCCACCCAATGGATGCTGCTGCCCAGGAAGAAACCTCCCTCCTCCTGGCCTCCTGGGAGGCAGACCCTCCTTTCTGGGGGGTGATCATTACCTGAAACCAGAATGGGCTTTCCCGTGGAGGAGAAAGAGATAGGGGAGCTCGTCGATGTGAAGGTGTCTCCCCACGTGTGGGTGTTGCCCCCTCCATGCTCCTTACTGCCTTGGGGGTCTGCTGCGGAGACCGGAGAGGCCGTGGCGCTGCCAGGAGAGAAGCCAGAGGTAAGACTGATGATTGAGATGGAAAGAGGGAAGTGTGTACACAGGAGCCATTCCCAGCCACCCCAGCACAGAAATGGGCACACATCCTCCAAGATGACTTGTGAGCTCGGCACAGAGATCCAGCCCAGGCCCCCCCTCCAACCCCAGCCCAGCTTCCCCCAAAATGGACCAGGGAGTCACCTGGTGGGCGCCTTGCTGTCCTCTGGGTTGGTGCTGCACTCGGGGTGGGCTTCTAGGGGAGGCGGCGGCTCATGGGTGGCATCCCTCTCAGCTGTACCTGCAGGGAATGGTCGCAGAATCAGTGTCAAGGAGCCTTACCCAGCAGGACTGGTAACTTCCAGGGAAGCGACACGGTGAGGCCGGAACGACACTGCAGCCAGGCAGACCCAGGTTAGTGTTCTGGCCCTGTCTCCTTCCTTCTCTCCCTCCTTCCTTCCCTCCATGCAACAACTCTTTACTGAGCACCTACTGTGTACCAGGGACCGTGTTGCAGCCTGGGACATAGCAGTGCACAAAACCGATCCCTACCGTCAGGGGCTTGCAGGCTGGTGGGGCTCACAGACATGATGCAGGTGTCACACGAAGGCACATGGGCTCCCTTTAATGGGAGACTCAACCTCATCTGACCAGGAAGGCTTCCCTCAGGCGGCTGTTGCTGGGATGTATGTATGGGTAGGGCCATCTAAGCAGAGGAAATTGAAAGTGGGGAGGCTCATAGGTGGGGGAAGGAAGAGAGCGAGCGCATAGGGGAGGCTGGTGTGCAGCCGCGTTAAAACGTGTACACGACTGTCTGTTGTACATGATCATTCATAGCTGTGTTCTTCATCACAGCCAGAAGAGTGGACACAACCCAAACGCCCATCAACTGGTAAAAGGGTAAATAAAATGTATATCAGTACCACAATATTGTGTGGACATAAGAGGAACAAAAGCACTAATACATGTGACAGCCTGAATGAACCCCAAAAGTATTAGTCTGAGTGAAAGAACCCCGATAGAGAACACATATTCTGGAAATGTCTAGATAAGGCTTATCTAGAGGGACAGAGAGTAGATCAGTGCTTGTCCAAGCTGGGGAGGGACATGGGGATTGACCACTAAAGGTGTGAGGTCTCTTAGATCGTGGTGATGGTTTTGCAACTTTGTAAATTTCTTTACGATCATTGAATTATACGCACCTAAAACCAGCAGATCTTGTGGTATGTAAAGTATACTGCAATAAAGCTGTTCTTAAAAAGTGGGGCTTTTTCAGGGTGCCTGGGGTTCAGTCGGTTAAGCATCTGACTCTTGATTTCAGCTCAGGTCATAATCTCACAGTTTGTGAGTTGGAGCCCCTGGTTGGGCTATGTGCTGACAGCACGGAGCCTGCCTGGGATTCTCATTCTCATTCTCTCTCTCTCTCTCTCTCTCTCTCTCTCTCTCTGCCCCTCCCCCACTCTCTAGCTTTCTCTCTCTCAATAAATCAATAAATTTTTAAAAAATTGTCTTTCTCCCCAAAGCAACGATTTAATTAGCGATATAGGATGGGATCCGTGTGGTAGGTTGAATCAAGGGTCCACTCCTCGGGTGGAGGAGGGGTCTGTGTTTCTGCCTCACCAACGCCATGCGACTCTGACGGTCAGGGGAGCAGGACGGAAGTAAGAGAGTGCCTGTTTCCAGCCTGGGCATTTCTGCACTTCCACCGCTGCCATAAGGAGATGGTGCTCTGGGCAGGGAGGGGCCCCCGCTGGTCCCAGAAGTATGAGAAATGCTGGAACCAAACCAGTAAGCCCAGGCAAGTCAGCAGAGTGCCCAGCTGACCCACGGAGGAGCAGGAGCTGAACACTGAAACGTCAACGTTGTTTGTCAGCCGCTATTCCTGCAGCTAGAGCTGGCTGAGACGGTCTGGTTCGTGTCTCAAAAGATCAAAGTGAAAAGGCTGCTCCTTATCTCCAGCCAACTGCGGTCACATAGGAAGGTGGCCTGGTGGCTCTAGGTCTTCTGACTTTATTTAAAAGAGAAACCTGGGGGCGCCTGGGGGGGCTCAGTCGGTTAAGCATCTGACTCTTGATTTCAGTTCAGATCACGATCTCACAGTTTGTGAGTCCGAGCCCCATGTCAGGCTCTGCACTGACAGTGAGGAGCCTGCTTGAGATTCTCTCCCTCTCTCTCTGTCCCTCCCCTGCTTACCTTCGCTCACTCTTTTATATAAATAACGGATAAATACATATAAATGAATAAATTTAAATACTATCCCCTGATATTTAAATGTAGCCTCAATTTTTAAAGTCTTTCTTTTGAAATCAACTTCATTAAGGCATAATTTATATAGAAGAAAATGACCTCTAAGTGTACAGTTTGATGAGTTTTGAAGAATGTATACATCCATGTAACTCTAACTCCATTTAAGATCTACAACATTCCCATCATTCCAGAAAGTTCCCTAGTGCCTTTCTGCCATAAATCCTTCCCTCACATTCAGGAAACCACTGGTCTGCTTTATGTCACTGTAGATTGGTTTGCCTGTTCTAGAATTGCACAGGATGGAATCAGGCAGTATGTACTTTCTGGTGTCTGGCTTCTTTCACTCAGCATAATATTTCTGAGATTCATTAATGTTGCACAGAGCAACATGTTCCATGGAACAATGTTCCATTGTAGAGATGTACCACCATTTACCTACTCATTCACCAGCTGATGGACATTTGGGTTGTTTCCAGTTTGAAGCTATTATAAATAAGGTAGCTCTGAATGTTCTCATACAAGTCTTTGTGAGGACATAGAATTTCATTCCTGTTGAGTACCTTGGAGGGAGAAGGTTGTGTCACTTTGCTGACCAGACAGAACGTCTTTAAGGACCATTCAGAGATGATCTCCTCTGATCTGACCCAGCCACCTCTTTTTTACAGATGGAGAGAATCATAGAGCCAGAGCTAGAGCCAGAAGGCAGGGCTCCTTAGTCCCAGCCCAGAGCACACCTCCTGCCTTGGGAATGAGCACTTTCTTACAAGTTTATAATTAACTGCTTTTGTAGGGCTAAAAAAACTGGCCCACATTTGAAGCTGATCACTATCCCTCTTTACCCCCATGTTCCTGGTGACAGCACCCCTCCTCTGATGGGGTACAAAGCAAATCCCCCACCCACATTCATTTCCCTTCTAAAAAGCTCTCGTGCTGCCTCTCAGATTTTTCCTGAAATACCTTGAAGAGAAAGTGAAGCAAGGATTAATTTCCTTTTTGGATTAGTAGGGTCCTGAGGAACTCTCCTCTTTTGGCGGTCTCCAAATAGATGCTATGTCTTTCCACATGGCCACCAGACTATTACCTGAATTAGCTGAAGCCTGGAGGCTTTAGCCTATGAGGAACATGATGCAATTTGTTATTATAATTTCTATTTATTTGTAAATCAGTATTTGAATTACATTTAAGATGTCATTGGTTTCAACAAGAGTTGACTTTGAGAGGATTGGAGAAGTTCTTGTGTTCAAATATACCACTTATGGATACACGCAGGTAGCACCATGAGCAGAGAGCCCTCTGGCGTCTCTCTAAGGCAGCCTCAGTCTGAGCTCCCACTGGAATACCTGCTGGAATCCAGCAATAGAACTTCTCTAAGTGGAGAAGATGGACCCAGTGGTCTTTGGATGCTTCTCAACCTCTCTATGTGTACCATACCTTCCTCCTTCCTCCCTGGGTTAGTGACCCTCCCCTTTTCTTCCTTCTTTCAATCTGGAGGTAAACAGAAGGTATTGTTTAGCCACTACTTAGTCTGTCTGTGTTCTCTGGTAAGGGCCCACTGAAAGAGAAAAAAAAAAAAAAAAAAAAAAAAGAACCTACCTACTCTTTGTCCCAATTTAGAACTAAAAAGGATATTATTTACCAGATTGAAATATTTCTCTTTAAATCCAAACACCTGATCCTTGGGCCATCTGAAGGAGAATGGTCATAGCATCAAGATAAAATGGATTATCTTTTTGTATATCCAACAAGTGCTTAAAGTCAGATGAAATTTTCATCTTCATATTCGGAGTGTAAATTTCTTGTCAGCTTTCTATTTTCCCTGGAGTTTTCAATTGCCTTTCTTTTTCTTGTTGATAAAAGAATAATGTGCCTTCACCATATGAAGTTTTTCAAAGGTACTACTCATAAAGTTCACTGCAATTCTTTCTTTCATTCCTGCAGACAAGACAATTCACTGGAGCCCTTTCTTTTTTTTTTTTTTTAATTTTTTTTTTTCAACATTTATTTATTTTTGGGACAGAGAGAGACAGAGCATGAACGGGGGAGGGGCAGAGAGAGAGGGAGACACAGAATCGGAAACAGGCTCCAGGCTCTGAGCCATCAGCCCAGAGCCTGACGCGGGGCTCGAACTCATGGACCGCGAGATCGTGACCTGGCTGAAGTCGGACGCTTAACCGACTGCGCCACCCAGGCGCCCCAGGAGCCCTCTTTCATTTTACCCCTCTTATCTGGTTCAATTGGTCTGCAACACAGCTATCATTCTGGGACTTCCCTTTCTTGCTCCCCTGGGACAGAGTCACTGTTTTCTAGATTCATGGATTTTTGTTTCTTGTCCCTCATTTAGCTGGATTACGTTTTCAAGTAACTTTCTAAAAGAGGACACGAGGGAAAATCTTTCTACCCTTTTATGTCTGAAATGTTTTTGTTGTGCTCTCAAACTTAATTGTATCTTAACTGAAAATTCTAGGTTCAGAACTAAGAAGGAGCTGATGTGGTCTGGTGGAGAGTACTCGGGGCTAAAACTCAGGATCCTTGTGTTCCAGCTCTAGCTCTGGCCCTATGATTCTCTCCATCTGTAAAACTAGGTTGTGAGATCAGATCACAGGTGGTGGCAGGTTCTGAATTGACCCTTAAAGACATTCTGTGTGGCCAGCACAGTGACCCAGTCATCCCTCTCCTGGGTATTTACTCATGAGAGACAAAAATATATATTCACACAGAGTTGTACAAGAATGTTTGTAACTGTTGTATTCATAATAGCTCCAAACTGGAGGGTTGCCTGGGTGGCTCAGTTGGTTAAGCATCTGACTCTTGATCTTGGTTCAGGTCATGATCTCATGTTTTGTGGGTTCTAGCCCCACATCAGGCTCTGTGCCTATAGCCTGCTTGGGATTTTCTCTCTGCACCCCTCCCTCCTTCTCTCTCTCTCTCTCTCTCTCTCTCTCTCTCTCTCAAAAATAAATAAATAAAATTTAAAAAATAGCTCCAAACTGGAAATAATCCAAATGTCTGTCAACTAGTGAATGAATAAATAAATACGTCTATTATGTCTAGGTGTGGGTAATCTTCATTCATCCTGCTTTGCTCTTGGTAAGTCCTTTCAGTCTGAAATCTTGTATTTTTCAGGTCAAGTATGCAAGGAAAGTTGGGGCACCGCTGTGGGTACAAGGCCTGGAGCACACAGTGACCAAGTCAAGAGGGCCATGAGAAATGGGAATGCAGAAGACCTAAGACTTGGGGTTGGGAGTGCACCGAGGGAATTATGGCACTTCTGCTGACATGAGGCCTGGGATGTACCAGTGTCCCCACTGGAAGGGCCATGCCAAGGTGGTCACCAGACCTAGGCTGGGGCTATGAGGTTGCAAGGGACCGTCGACTCTGGGAGCATGACTGGGACCAGATGACCCCACCCATGCGCCCTGCTGAGAAAGTGTGCAGCAAGAGCAAGAAAAAGTAAATGCAGCCAAGAAAAGCCTCCTTCTTCCTGCAGTGGCTCCCCAGCACCCTCTACGGGCAAAGCTTAACATCACGTTCACAAGGAGAAATGCGGAAAGAGTCCAGCCCTTTACTGCACAGCAGGAGCTGAGGGTGCAATGAGAGTTGAGAGGCCACCATTGGTAACAGGCACACTTTCTAAAAGCCTTTTTTTTTGGTCCTCTATTTTCTTACTATTTCTTTTTCATTGCGTTCTGTTCTCGCTTTATGGATGTAGCAACTTGAATTTTTCTGTGGACACTAGTTTACTTATTTATTTATATTAAGTTTATTTCTTTTGAGAGAGTGAGTGGGGGAGGGGC